TACTTTGAGTTAGGTCTTGAGTTACAATATTGCCCAACCCTCTAGGTTGCCACCCCTCACTGCATGCAACCAATAGGATTAATTTTGGGACGGACTAACAGGTAGGTGGGTCTACAGGTCGGCACAGTTGCCACACACCCAAAGAACCACCTATAAAAGATAAGGACCAGTCGCCTGGACCTTGCTAGCCGCCATCCCCCCAACACCCCGTCTGCTTTAAATCCCCTTTTGTCCAGCTTTCTATCCCCAAACCCTTGCCTCTACTGCCCATACAAGCTGGCTGGCTCTAGCTGTGTGTTAAACTTCCCTAGATTCTATTTCTCCCTGTAGACTTTGATAGGGTTCAATAACGACACCACACACAACAGCTTTCTTGAACTATGTCTGCTTTAAATCCCCTTTTGTCCAGCTTTCTATCCCCAAACCCTTGCCTCTACTGCCCATACAAGCTGGCTGGCTCTAGCTGTGTGTTAAACTTCCCTAGATTCTATTTCTCCCTGTAGACTTTGATAGGGTTCAATAACGACACCACACACAACAGATTTCTTGAAGCTACTGATCAGCTCTGTCTGTCTCTCTGTACCAAGCTCTGTTTGCTGACAGTCTCACAGCAGTGTTTTATTAGAAATCAAGCAGGCTCAGTGAAATTCGTTACAACAGAGCAAAAGACTTTGTAAAGTAAAAAGCACAGTGTATTTCACAGAATGTTCTTTTCTCATAGCTCAAGTTATCTGGTCTTAAATGTTGCAGATCTTGTGCTCTCTTAGAGTAATTTAACAGGCTCATGCAGACTCAGCAAACATTATGCATTTGCCAATCTCCCGGTGGGAACTGAACCTGTCCTGGGCATGCCTCGCGGGATTTGTTCAATTTCCACATCTCCCCATCCATTCTTCATTTGAACTGACAAGCTTCAGGACAGATAAGTATCTCCCATCATCACCCTATCTGCTAATGCAAAAGTGCTTAAGTTTAATACTGTATTTCTAAGGAACTTGATTGAGTGTGTGAGTGCATCTGTATTGTTTGTATGTGATTTATATATTCTTAAGTAAAAGACAATTATTTTGAACAACACCAGCCTCGACTCCTTCTACTGGTAACCCTTGGTGGGAGCTGGACCTTGGTATAGCTGGCAAGAACCCATCTAAATTTTGCCAATTGCTGTAGGTAAAGCAATTCGGCTAACAACAGAGACAGTGAAAAATTGCTTCTACTTCCTATAAAAGCAGATACATTGGGCTGGATCGTATGGATGTTCCATTCATGGAAGACAGAGGAGAGCAATCTTACCCAATTACCCTGACCCCTGTGAGGATCCTCATGTTCCTTGCCTTGATCTGCTTCTACCAATGGAACGTCCATAGGATCCAACCAGATGCTCCTCTTAAAAAACAAAATGCATTTCTCTGGCATCCTGCTTGCTGACAACAGATAGCTCGTTGACAAAATTAATGATCTGGTTTACCAAGCCTCTAAATGTTTCACTGCCCTGACCTGGACAGCCCAGGCTAGCCTGATCGTGTCAGGTTTCAGAAGCTAGGCAGGGTCAGCCCTGGTCAGTATTTAGATAGGAGACCACCGGGGAATACCAGCTTTGCTACGCAGAGGCAGGCAAACCACCTTAGAACCTCTCTTGCCTTGAAAACCCTGCGGGGTTGCCACAAGTCAGCTGCAACTTGATGGGGGGGGGGAATTACTTTTCCTAATTCTGTTTCTTGAAAGTGGAACTGTTTTCCTCAGGAGATGCCTCAGTGGGTGGGGTCTTGAAGTAAGCATTTCTTTTTTTCTAAAGGAAGTAGAAGCACATAAGTAGTAACACTGTTGGATTCACCATATTACTTCAGTTGCAGTCCACTCTTTTATCACGAGACTGCCTCACAGCCGCCTAGTCTATTAGGATAAAGACAAAAATTTCCACATCTGTAGATGGAACAAGAGGCTCCTTCTCTTGCCAAGTGGATACAACCTTCATAGTCTGGAATGTTGAGTCAATCTCAATCCAGGTCCTTTTAAGGGCTTCTCATTTTAGTCTTTTCCGCACCCCAGCTTTAATGTTCACTTTACTGTTACCTCTCTTGACCGAAATAATTTTGTTACGATGAAGGAGAATTTCTTTTCCGAGATTCACTTCTTTTAGATATAACCATTGATTTCTCTTATTCTCTTTTTTGTCTTTTTATGACAGGGATTTCTCTTTGAAGAAAAATCAGTGCACTCTTTTGTACCTTCAGCACTTGCAGTTTTATATTACACACCATAATAATACCAGCAAAGGAAGGTTTGGGAAACCACCGCCTTCCTCTGAGCATCTGCAGAATTAAATTCTGTACAACCTCCCTTTCTGTGCCTCCTCTCTTCGAATTTATCTTTGGTCAGAATGGAATTGATTAGAAACTGATTCCTAAAAGGAGGAAAAATTAATTGTTGGATTTCAGGGAGAAATTAGATAAAGAGGAGCTAGGAGAATTTCTCTTAACTCTTGACTGACACAAAGGTTTCTCTTTTGTTTCCAATTTTAGGAATGCTTCAATTCACCTTATGGCACACAATATTTTCCAGAGTATGCAGAGAAAATCCCTGGTGAGTCCACACAGAAGCTCTCTGAAATTGCAAAAGAATGCAACATATACCTGATTGGAGGTAAGCTGCTATGCTTTCTGGGTGATTTTTGGTTGATTGTGGTGTTAGATTTCAGACTGGAATAACCATAGAATTTATTTCTTGAAAGTATTTTTATTCTGCTCTCATAATCAAATGATTCTCAAGGCAGCCATTTGAATATCTGACTAACAGTAAGTGTTCTTTTCTTTGATGGAAGGTTCTATTCCCGAAGAGGATGCTGGGAAGTTGTACAATACATGTACTGTTTTTGGTCCTGATGGTGCTATGTTAGCAAAGCACAGAAAGGTAAACTTTTGATTTCTGTGGATTCCATTGCATTCCAGTTTCAGACATAGTTGAAGTTACCCAACTGACATAAACAGTACTATTCATTGAAATTTGCTTGCAGTCATCTAATACCCAAGAGAAGTATGGTGCCCACGTACTTATAGTATGTGACCGCACTGCTGTTGTATAGCTGTTGTTGTTGTTGTTGTTGTTGTTATTATTATTATTTAAACTTCTACCCCGCCCTCCCCACACGTGGGCTCAGGGCGGCTTACAAACAGGGCACCATGTGCCAATACGTAAAAAGAGAGTAAAAACAAACACAACAACAATATTAAAATATAAAGTGCTCAATGTTAGTTGTCTTCAGTACGAACAAGGTGGCGTATATTGTATTTTGTGTTTCCCCCAAGGAATAAAAGGATCGTTTTATTTAAGCTTTATTTAGTTCTGTGAAATATATTAGGGGGACATACAGTGACTTGCTCAAGGCCATCGGGTCTCATATCTGAGGCAGAGGTTTCCCAGATCCATTCCACATTTTAACCTGGGCTTGTCACATCTAAACCCAGCATACTAGCCACTGCAGCACATTGGAAAGGGGGCATGGCTCAGTGGTACAGCATCTGCTTGGCATGAAGAAGGTCCCAGGTTCGATCCCTGGCATCTCCAGTTTAAAGGATCACATAATAGGTCATATGAAAGACCTCATCCTAAGACCCTGAAGAGCTATCTGCCCATCAGTGGCAATACTGACCCTGATAGACCAGTGCTCTGTCTCAATACAAGGCAAATTCATGTGTCCATCGGAGCTCTCACCACACTTCCATAAGGCGATTGCAACAGTATAAATTTGGGCTAAATGTTTCTAGAGGAGAAATGGGTTGACCACTTGGGCCCTTGAAGGTCCACAGCAACCCTACAGAGCAAACTATAGCCCAATAAGTAAGAGCTCTAAAATGGTACTTCATTCAAAAGAATAAGGTATGGAATGCCAGCAATGGTTTATTTGTTTGTGGCTTGGAACCTTAACTTTTTGTCGGACCTCCTGGCCTTTTGTAACTGTATTCAGCCCCTGTGGCAGCTATTTTAGGAACTCCTGCTTTAAGTGGTCCTGAGCTTGTGTAGTGGTTAAGTGCACAGACTCTAATCTGGGAGAACCAGGTTTGATTCTCCACTCCTCCACTCGCAGCTGCTGGATGACCTTGGGCAAGCCATAGTTCTGTCAGAGCCATCCTTGAAAAAGCAGTTTCTATCAGAGCTCTCTCAGCCCCACCTACCTCACAGGGTGTCTGTTGTGGGGAGGGAAAGGGAAAGGAGTTTGAAAGCCACTCTGAGACTCATAGTGAAGGGCGAGGTATAAATCCAGTGTTTTCTTCTCTTCTTCATTTGTGTGCATAACTGAATGATATTGCTTTTAACTGTTTCAGTATTTAGCCCTAGGTAGTAAGATGTAAAATGTTCCCAAGGGTTGTTTACTTGACATAGGATTGTATGCAACGATATATGGCCATCTTTAACCTGTGAAGAGAATGCTCAGTTAGTAAAATTATACTGAATAATTTACTAGCAGTGACTTTTGATTTCTTTTGGAAACAGATTCATTTGTTTGACATTAATGTTCCTGGGAAAATCCGGTTCCAGGAGTCAGAAACTCTGAGTCCTGGCAATAGTTTCTCTGTGTTCGATACTCGTAAGTAAAAAGTTTGTTTCAGTGGTAACTAATCAACTTTTAGAAGTATTCTTGTTTGTGTTGTGGCAGTTTCTAAAGCAAGTTAGATACATGATCAGGAATAATATTTTCATATTAAAAAGTCAGCAGATAATCAGAAAGTGAGGTAAAGAGGGAAATACAACCAGTATTCCTGACCTGAGAAGGACTGCCAGTATCCTGCTGTGTATTGCCCGTGTTAAGGCAGGGTGGGGAGGGGGGGCTTTCATGCTTGTGGCTGTCAGGCTTCGGAACGCCCTGCCCAAGGAAACTCATTGTCCCCTAATTTCTGACTTTCCAGAGGTGCATAAAAAATGCTGTCCTCAAGAAAGTTTGGTGATAGTTGAACTGATTGGCAGATACGGTGGTATAATTATTTACTGCTATTTCCTTAATTGCTGACTGCTGGTTTTATTATTTTTCTAGTTTTGTAGTGGCTTTGTCGCTGTTTTTATGATCCATTGTAGCTGAGTTGCTGCTAGGGTAGATTTTTAGACCTTTGTTTTTTTTAAATTCAGTTTTTAAATATTTACCTGTAAGCACGATAGAAATTGTCTAAATATAAGTGTTGTTTCCATCTAGATGCTGTCTCTCCTGCTTTGTTCATGTTGCCCTTCTTTTGTGAATTGAAGTCAAAATTATAAATATGACCCCTGTTGTAGGTTACTGGATCTGGCTGTGCTGTTAGACTCTGATTTTTATTATTTTGTTTATAGCATGTTTGTGTGTGTATATGCCATTAAAGGTTTATTGATTGATTGATTGCATGTTCGTGTGGATCTTCTCTGTCATACTCTTCATGCAAAGAAGCATAAATTTAATTAAAAAAAAATCTTTATATATAGTGACTTGAAGTACTGTTGTTCTCTCATGCATATGCTTAAAATCGGGGCTTGTTACTTAACCGTAAGGTGCACGTCATACAACAGATTGTAACCCTGCAAGACGGAATGTTTCTGCTCAGGCTGACAGGGGCCTGATTTGTTTGTTTTTGTTTGCTCTGAGGCAGCATACTGCAAGATTGGACTTGGGATCTGCTATGACATCCGCTTTGCTGAGCTTGCTCAGATCTACGCACAGAAGGGTGAGTAATTGTGTCTGCTTTCTTGTACTCCTGGAATACCTGCATAATTGACAACCTGGCCGATCCATATAGAACTCTGTTAGAAGTGTCCACACTGAGAGTCCTAAAGCTGTACTCATGATAAAGATATAAGGCACACGTGCAGCATCAGAACTGACATTTTGGAGTCCTCTGGTCAAAAAAAAGCAGAAGTTTCGTATGGTTAATCAAAGGTTTAGCTTACATTACTCGCCAGATCTTTTCCAAGACCCCCATTTTGTTTCAGAGCCAACTGACATCCTCTTAAAGGTTACATCATCTCTGTAGGGCATGGGAGAGTTCCTTCTCATCTTCAGGCCTTTCACTTCACCTGCCTTAATGAGGCTAATGTCTCTTCTCTATCTCTGCCTTCTTTAATCTGTAGCCTGTGTGTGTCCATGTTTTTTTTCCAATTTACTCAGGTAAACAGGAAAATCTGGGTGATTTATGGCACAGCATTTGTGGTCCATGACAGGTCTCTTTATTTACCTGAGTTTCATCAGAGTCATTACTAGCAAAGGCAGCTGCCCAGATCAATCATTGGATGAAAATATTTACAAAATACACTGTCCAATAAAACTGGAAAGTTTGGCCAAAGCAAGTAAAGCATCTCAAATGATGATTTTCCAGTTATGTAATTGGATCATCCTCCCACTGCTGTTGCCTTTGCCCTTTTTTTACTATGCATGTATGTAACAGTAACAATACAATCATATGAATTAAGTGGTGCCTCTCATTGGGGCTCGTTGTGTTAATGTAGTAGTGTGCTTATTTATAAATTATTCCTCTCAGGCTGCGTGGAAAAGGGACACAGGATGAGAAAAATAATGCTGTAGATAAAATGTGGGCTGTGACTCATTGGGAGAGCCTCTGCTTTGCGTGCAGGAAGTCCAGACCCTGGCATCTCCAGTTAAAATGGCCAAGGCAGCAGGTGATGTGAAAGACCGCCACCTAAGACCCTGGAGAGCCACTGTCAGTCTGAGCAGGCAGTACTGACCTTGATGGACCAAGGGCCTGATTCAGTATAAGGCAGCTTCATGTGTGAGCAGACATTGTGTTTTATCACCTTAAGTATTTATAAAGGTTTAGGTATTTATGCTGTATGCTGGTCAGTTAGGTAACTGCCGTAAATTGACCAGAACCACCGTATGAACCTGGGGCATAGGGGAAGCAAGTCCAGTCCCTTACCAGTTAAGCTTGAGATATGTGGCCGTGTCCGCCTCCTGCTTGGGAGTGCTCAAAGTCAAGACATCTCCTGAATCAAAAGCCTTTGTGTGTGAACAGTCTGCTTTCCAACACTCATCTTCAAGTGAAGTGACAAGAAATGCCGTCTTCCTTTCCCCATGGTAACTCCTTTCTCCTCTGAGGTTCCTGACACAATTTTGCCTTCATTTTGTACCAAGGTTGCCAGCTCTTGGTGTATCCTGGGGCTTTCAATTTGACCACAGGCCCTGCCCACTGGGAGCTGCTGCAGAGAGGACGGTAAGACATAGCAAAGGGTCTCACCTCTCCACCCCTCCTCATCCCAAAGCTTTAGGTAACTTCATTGCATTGCTCTGAGTGTCTATGCAGAAATGCTAAATGTAAACTATTCTTTTTTAAATTAAACCTCATTTGCTCTTTATATTATGCATCAGTAGCTGCCATCTAGTATACCAGGAAGTAAAGCTTAATAGCTAATTCAGCCCCACCTGAACTACAGCTTTCAAACTGGGTTGTAACATTTCCTCAGAGTTCCTAAGGATAAATCTCAGCATTAAGGACTGATCCTGCTGAGTGAGCCCAGTCTGGAATTCTGGGCTTCACTGATAACCACTTGTTCCTAGTTTAGGTTTCCCGAAGTATAGAGACACGGGGGTGATTCTTACATGTGCAAACTGTACTATGGAAAGTGCATAGCAAGGCAGCTCCATGGCAAATGCTTTCCCCAGCCGTATATAACCCTTATGCAGTGATCTCTTGTTGTTGTTTTTTTAAAAAAATGCAGAGCTGTTGATAACCAGGTCTATGTGGCTGCTGTATCTCCTGCTAGGGATGAGAAGGCGTCTTATGTAGCCTGGGGACATAGCACTGTAGTAAATCCATGGTAAGTGACAAAATGGACGGTAATTAAAGTCTCTCATGCTATTATTATTGCCTTGGCACATCAGAAATACTAGATAAAGGTCAAAAGGATAACATACCCAGTAAAAATCTGAAACATTTTAACCCCAAAATATAAAAGTTCCTGCAACCATTGTTCAGTCCTAGTCAATAAAAGCCAAGAATTTCTTGTCCACACTTTCAAAAGAAATATTTAAGTACTGACTTTATGGATATCTATGAGGAGATATCATAGGTGCCTTTCCCCCATGTCTTTATGTGATAACTGTCAAAAGGGTACTCTTACTGTGAAGTTTTTGTCTAAAATATATAACTTTTGAACTCAGAGGAAGGTAGTGTGGCATAATTGACTGAACAGAACAGGGCTGATAGAAGAAACCTCAAGGGCTTTTTTCCCCTTAGAGCTGTTGCCCCTCATTTGTCAGCAGGATCACTAGAGTGACCTTTTAAAGATCAGGTCTCATCTCAGTAATCTGAGACAGTCAAGAGATGGTTGCTACTGCCCAAACAAACCATGCAGTGGATGGAGGAAAAGGGGATTTATAGAGATCAGTGATAATTTTGATTCAAGCATCTGTTCATAGGAGTGGAAAGGCCAAGGTTTGGAACCAAGAGGAGTTCCTTTAACCACCTTTCAGCTTTCAGAAAGCATCTTTGGAAGGAATGTTTTTTGCTCTTTCAAGAGCTGAAATTTCTCATCGTCTGCCATGCCCTAATTGAATAGCGTTGGTCATACCACTGTTTCTCAACCTCTGTTCCTTGTGTGTAAAATGCCAATAAATGACCATCCTCGTGAAGTTATTGTGTGAGTACACACAGGGATAGACTGAGGAAATTTAGAGACAGGTGAGTCTGCAAGAGTGTTTTTGATCTTCTCAAGGATTAAAGTTTGATTTAGATCCTCATGATGAAGAGAGTTACTACTAATGTAGGTCTTCTTCATTACTTTTGCAGACCTAAAGAAGCTTGCAGAAGTTCGTCAACAAATCCCCATTTTGTCCCAGAAGCGTTCTGACCTTTACACTGTTCAAGCAAAGACCGCATGATGCACGTAGTGACTTGGATCCGTACACATCTTGCCTTTTCCTGTATCCGTCTTCAGTGAAATACATTTTTTAAAATGATGTAACCATGATAGAAGAAACAATTAAACCCAATCTATAAACGTCTTTATTTCTGCTTAACTGCCTAGAGCCAAGAGTAGTCATCCCGTAGCAGGCACACCAAATGGCAGCCTCCTTGTCCCACAGGGGTGTGGTTGATCTGCATCAGCCCAAAATGCAACTCAGTCTGGACCTGAGTAACCAGAGCTCCTTCTGGCCCCATCCCAGTGAATGCCAACAGCCCCACACCAACCACTCATGACGAATGGGCAGGTGCACGGCATGGCTGCTCAGTGCACTGGCTTCAAGGCAGGTGTCAGGGCTTACTGCACACACATTTGTGCCACCACCTGAATAGTTGAAGCTGCTGCTTTCCCTGCCCACATCAGGTAGAGCTGCTTCCATGACTGTTAGGGACAGGAGCTGCCTGGAACAGTGAGATAGTGGAGGCCTATTTGGACCTAGACATGTGCCCGGTCATGTGTTGCACCTTATTGCCACTTCTCCAGCAGAGCTTTTCATACTTGAAAGGGAGGACAGTAGGGAAGGAGGAGAGAAGAGACCCAAGGCCAGGCTCAGGTTGTGGCTAGGAGGCAGAGTGGCATGCTAGAAGCCAACAGAATCCTGAGCAGGCACCCATCCTGTAGAGAAGGAGATGTTTAAAATTAGAGTTTGGACTGTGGTAGCTCTGAGAGTGAAAGTTTAAGTGTAAACTCTCCCACTGACTAAAGGGTACCTCCATATTCAGAGGTGGGAAACCTCTGAATCCCAGTGTCAGGACTGGAGGTAACATCAGGGGAAGACCATGACCGCTATGCCCTGCCTGTTGGCTTTCCAGGGCAACTGGTTGGCCACTGTAAAAATGTTCTTAAGGTATCCTCCGGCTCACAAGGACTTGGCTTATAAAACATCTTTTAGGACCAGACATTATGCATTATTTTCATCCATTGCAATCACATTCATGTGTGCACTATAAGAAAAATCATTGATGCTGACATTTTTAAAGCAGCAATATTTTAGTCCTTTATTCCCATGCCAAAAAAAGTCTGTAGACCTCATTTGGAGTGCATCTGACCCTAGCCCCCTTCACTCCCCATTTTGATTGCTGCCAGCGCAGGGACTCACACAAGCACATTTTGATAAGATAGAGGATGTTACTTTACATATTGCTGCACTGCAGCATACGGTCTATTTTTAATACATTTTACTCTTGTGTTGCTAACCAGAAATATTTTCTTGTTGTTGCAGTATGACTTGACAGATAAGTGCCTGGACTCATGGCTTCACTTCCACCAATTTGTGCTGTGAACTATGGTCCTTTGCAGGGTCTTGTACAAGTCTAAAGGGAGTAGGCCAGAAAAAATTACAAATTCACATGCTCTTATCACCCATAAGGTCATCTGTTTGCAGTTTTATACTGACCAAATAAACCTTTTCTCCAAACAATAGAATGGTCATCATTTTAAACAAAGAATGTTTTCCACCTACAGCCACAGCTCTATATTGTACAGGTTAGAGGAAATATGTAAGAGAAATGTCACCGATATAGCTGGGAATATAGGGGAACAGTTGTTGAACTTAACAAAATTTTTTTACAGAAGATGTTTCTAAGAGGCTTGCCTGACCTCTCAGCTAAACATGCCTCAAAGGGAGTTTAGAGACCCAGCGCAGAATAGCTTTGAAAGGGACAAGAAACAAAAACGTGACACAGCTATATGGCCTTGTGTAGATTAGAAGCTGCCTTACTCATATCCATAGCCATTGTTTGTTGAGGCCCAGCTGCAGAGAGTGTTTGAGAATGGCAGGAATGTCCACCTTCACTGAAATGAGGATACTGTTCAAAGGTAGATGTACTGGTTGAGGGCCAAAAGATATTCATATATATGAGAAACTTGTAATCACCTTTTTAAAATGGTCTTTGTTAAGATGAAAAGTAGCAAAGGTAAACTAACTGTTTCTACATATTTTAAGATGACATTTCAGGTATGGTGTTTGAAGTTATGAGTTGGCCAAGAACGTGTCCCCTCATCAAGTGAGACAGTTAGCTGTTACTAGGAGATGCTTTACAAATCCTATAAATATAGAAAGTTGAATTGAGAACTTCTTCTCAGAAGGGGCTCTTTGCTTGTGACCTGCTTATCTTTGGAGTAAGAAACGCTTATGGACTCAGGTTTTTGTTCTCCTTTAACTATCTTTGTAACAATGATGGATGATATATTTCTCTGTTGAATTCAATAATTATGTTTTAATAAAAGTGTAACATGGAAGCAGAGATTCTCTAATAGTATTATTTGTATACTATACTGGTAACGAACCTAAAATGTTACTGAGGTATGCCTCCAGCCAGGAGTTAAATGATCTGATACAGCAAAACTAACTAGATGCCTAGGGCTCGTGTGCCTGTGTCTGAATCGGGCCTGACCTGAGTTATCCAGAACCAAAGGCTCCAGTGCTATACAAGCTCCTTTATTTGAAACTCCCAGAGCTGTTCCTCTAGGTATTCTCCTTGTCCATCAAGTTGATGGGAACTTATTATTCACTCACCATGCTTTTGAAAGTGTACAACTATCATGTGCTTTTTGTGGGGCTGTCCTTACAAAAAATTAATCCCCAAGCTGTGTCTGGCACAGAACGTAGGGGAGGGGCCATGGCTCAGTGGTAGAGCATCTCCTTGGCATGCGGAAGGTCCGAAGTCCTATCCCCGGCATCACCAGTTAAAGGAACTAGCAGTAGATGATGTGAAAGACCTCTGCCTGAGACCCTGGAGAGCTGCTGCCAGTCTAAGTAGACAGTACTGAACTTTATGGACCGACGGTCTGATTGAGTATAAGGCAGCTTCCTGTATTCAATGCAGTGGAGACCAAGGTCACATAACACCATTCTACACAAGCTGTACTGCCTACCAGTTAACTTCTGGTTTTGCTAGTCAACTGTTGGCTAATCTCTTAAAACCACAAATGGCCTAAATCTGAGGGATGCACATCTTGTCCATTGAACTACTGAGAGAGACCTGCTCTGGATCCCCACATTAAAGAATATTGACTGTGGGGGATAGGAGCAGGATCCTGGGACTCTGGAGGCCTTTTCCATGTGAGATTTGCAGGTGTTGGCCACTAGGTTTTAGAAAAGAAGTGAAAGCCTTTGGAGGGAAAAAATCTTCAATAAATATCTGCATTAACAAAAAAGATATTTGAACTAAGAATAAATTTAATAGCCCTGCATTTTCATCGGATATTTGATAATTATATATTAGATTAATACCTGAAAAGTGTTTTGAACTTGTTAAGAAGGGCTATACTTCATTAACTACAGAATACAAGCTTTGAGATCAAAGCCTAGACATGTTGAATTTGTCCACATGGTTGAAATTTCAGAGAACAAAAGTCCTACAGCATTGTAGGGTTGTGTTTCCCACCTTTGGACACATCAGAAGAAGCCGTGTTAGGGTGCAAATACTGGTGAAGCACTTTTGTATAGCACCAAAAACAGATTGCATCACTAGCACGAGAGCATTACTTGTGAGTGCTTATGGTTACACAGCAAAGGAGTAGGCTCTTCTGCTAACCTGGAACATTACAGTAATGAACTGAACTTGCTGCATATGTGAATTCACTTAAAACTCTCATTGCAGTGATTTCCCAGCCCAGGGGTTTTGCAGTAAAGGACATCACCTTGATGTTTTTAGAATAAAATGTAATGGAGAAGATTTTTACCCTGATGTCGAATATGATCATTCCTTATACTCAGAAATTATAGCATTGGAAAAACTGCAGAAAAGGGCAACTAGAATGATAAAAGGGTCAGAGCACTTTCCCTATGAAGAAAGGTTGAAGCGCTTGGGGCTCTTTAGCTCAAAGAAATGACAACTGTGGGGTGACATGATAGAGGTTTACAAGATAATAAATGGGATAGAGCAGGTAGAGAAAGAAGTACTTTTCTCCCTTTCTCACAATACAAGAACTCGTGGACACTCAATGAAATTGCTGAGGTTAGAACAGATAAAAGGAAGTACTTCTTCACCCAAAGAGTGATTAACACATAGAATTCACTGCCACAGGAGGTGGTGGCAGCTACAAGCCTGGACAGCTTCAAGAGGGAACTGGATAAACATATGGAGCAGAGATCCATCAGTGTCTATTAGCCACAAGGTATAGATAGGAACTCTGGGGCAAGTGATGCTCTGTATTCTTGGTGCTTGGGGGGAGCAACAGTGGGAGGGCTTCTAGTGTCCTGGCTCCACTGGTGGACCTCCTGGTGGCACCTGGTATTTTTGGCCACTGTGTGACAGAGTGTTGGACTGGATGGGCCATTGGCCTGATCCAACATTGGCATCTCTTATGTTCAGTTCGCAGTTTCTTAGGACCAAGCCACTGTAACCCCTCCATCTTCCCAGCTCTAAGCAGTCTAAAATTGATCTTTAGAGTGTAAATTACCACCAGGCTGAAGGATGGAAGTAGGAAAGTACAAGTGCTGAGCCACAGAAAACTGCCAACATTGATGAACCTGACAAGATCACCAGCAATATTTCAACCTACTTTTTCTTTTCACAAACATGTCTGTTACACTCTAAAAAAAGACACATGTACAGTGAAAGGAAATTTATTAGTCAAAAATATAAAAAGACAATCACTGCAGGCCTTAGCTTACATCATAGTCATGTGTATCCATTTTAAGCCACCTGCTGCACCTAAAACTTCATAGTTTAGCTTTCCCTAGGTTTGATTGAAACAATGCAAGAGTTCTTCCAGCTTGTCCTGCTCACTCATTTGTTCACACTTACATACCCCACCCCTCAGCTTAAAGCATTGTGTACATTTATTCCTTTTGAGAGACGAGGGAAAAATCAGATCTACACCTCTTTCTTGGCTTATGAGAAAGTGGCAGTATTCTGCAGAAGAGTAGGAAGGTGTTTATGGATACAAACCAAAGCAATGCTGTGCAGTGCTTTGTCCCACTGATCTCAGTGGGAGGTATTTAAGAACCTGCTTAATTTTCCCATAAAACCAGTAGGATTTAAAACTCTCTTAAGCTAGATCATGCCTTCTAATTGAAACAGATGCATTCTTTGAGCAAGGACCACACAGTAAGGTATTGACTCAAATTCCAGCTGGAGGTCAGTATGTGTAAAACCCCTTCAACTTTTAGTATTTTCTAAATGAGACTGGGAGATCATAATAGTGTCAACAAAAAAAATGAAGCATTTAGATTATTTTGATATTTATGGTTCCAATATGTTACTCGATTGTTACTCTATTGTTATTTTTTTTAAATAACCTTCCTTCTTTGACATTCAAAACTGATAAATATGAACACAGTAAATGGAGTCCCTGTTTAGGAAGAGTTGCAGTTAAAATGGGTCAGATGTTAGCCAGATCCTAACAATAGCTGTTCTAGCTGCTGTTAATAAATGACTGACTTGGTCACATTTACAAATGACCCATTTAAATAGCTTATTGGTACTAATGGATTATATTGCATCATGTATCCAGTCATTTGTTCTCTTATGCAGGATAGGTTATCACAATTGTGTCAAAATAGGTACTAAGGCAGCTCACTGTATAGCTTCTACAGTAAACAAAGTCAAACTTGTTTTTTCTTCAGTTTATATAAGAAAAGATACCATTGATAGTGCACCTGAAGTAAGTGTACTGTAATGTTCACACACGTTGGATCCTTTCAGTTTTTCCACTGGTAGGAGGGACCCTTTTTGACACCCCACAGCTATACTGTGGAGTGTGGGATCCATATGAACACACAATATAGGGCAGCAGAGTGTCCCCCCCCCTTGTGCTAGCAGAGAAGCTGTTTATGATGCAAACCATGATTATGTTTCTCCAAATCCACTGCAAATTATCCTTCAAAAGTTACAATAGGCCTTTCATTGAAGTCCCCTGTAGCATTTCTGAAGGATTTTTTTCACAAGGACACTTTTCCCTCAGCACAATGTACTTCGTTGTGATTTTTATGGGGAAGTGCAGGACTGTATATTTAAACCTATTGTGTCTAACATTCACGGTCTATCTGAGGCAAAGTTAGTATCTCTTTTACTATCTGACCAATGTCCCCACATTACAAGTTCAGTTGCAAGGTACCTTCTGACTGCCATAACAATCAGGGAGCAAAAGTCTAGCTTTTCTATGTGATGCTTGATGGTTTTTATAATTGAAATTCTCTGTAAATTGGCCATGTTGTAGCTTTTTTCTTTTTATGACAATAAAGGTATTTGGATTGGATTGGAAGATAGTCAACAGGTCTAATTTTAAAGTACCAGTACAAAAGTGGCAAGTGCCTGTTCCCATTTAACATCTTGGCAAGTTACTCTATGTGTAATCCTATTAATTCAGCTAGGGTTACTACATTCACATTAGATAACACTTTCAAAGATCTATTCTTTCAGTTAACTTGTTCATTAAGATAAAATATGGTGAAAGGAAATTTATTAGTCAAAAATATAAAAAGACAATCACTGCAGACCTTAGCTTACATCATAGTCACGTGTGTCCATTTTAAGCCACCTGCTGCATCTAAGACTTCATAGTTTAGCTTTCTTTCCCTAGGTTTGATTGAAACAACAATGCAAGAGTTCTTCCAGCTTGTCCTGCTCACTCATTTGTTTGTGGATCAGGAGGCGCGCCAGGCTTCCACAGGTTTCTCCCCATCCAAACTCCTAAATGGGTGCCTCCCAGGGTGGGTGCTGGACCTCTTCAAGGGACAGTGGGAGGTGGAAGGCTTGCCAGGACAAGGGGTCATTCAGTATGTGATGCAACTCCAGGAAAAGTTGGTGGAATGGGCCCATTGTGCAGAAAGAATAGTACAACTGGCAGGTGGAGAACATACCTTTCAGCCCAGGGACCGCATAATGATTCTACTACCCAGCCATAGTCTTAAATTGCAGGTTCAATGGCAGGGGTCCTCTGAGGTAGTGCTGTGAACGGGGCCTGTAGATTACAAAGTGCGCTGACTTAATCTGCATAATGCTCCTCACATTTATCGTGTGGATCTTTTGAAGGTCTGGCAGGAGCCTGAAAGATGCACAGTCAAGGTACTGGCAGTGGAAACTGATGAAGAGGAAGAGACAAAGGACAGCTTATGGCCAGAAGCATCAGAGGTGCAAAAAGAGGAACAGCTATGGGTTAGAGCCAGGACTGAGCAAACAAGAGGCTCAGATAAGACAGGCTCAGTAGCATGGCTGTATCCTTCTAGCATCTAATGGACAGAGTCCCGGCAGAACTAGACAGGTTTGCCATGGCCTACATGGATGA